TAAACACTGTCTTTTCTGAGAAATTGCAGTGTTTACATTACAGCCTAGTGATAACTTCACTGGCCACTCCTCAGATAGCTGTTAGAGATCCTTCCTGGGTCGTGGCTGCCTAAAATGCATCCAAACATTCAATATCTCCCCCCTCTGCATGCAGACACTGAACTTTCCTCATATAAATTCATTGATTCAATGAATACAGTAAGATTGTTCTATACTTATGGAGGCACGAGGGGCCCAGGGGGGCTAGATGGTGGTTTTAACACGATAAGGTCAGGAATACATGTTTGTGTTCCTGACCCTATAGTGATCCTTTAAGGATACACACTTGAAAATGCATGTAAAAGGAAAACAAAGAAATATATAGTGCAGATGGTCTGATATATTAGTAAGTGATGAAAGTGGAATAACTAGAATCACTCACATGGTCTGGAGCCTATATGTTATTGGCTCCGTAACATAGGCCTTAATGCTCTTTGGGCAGCAATACTCCCAATTGAGCTGGGGGGAGGTCCTGGTGCCAGATGCGGGGTGGCCGTGATGACGTCACAAGGAAGTGTGCGTCAGCCTAAACCCTTCTGGCGGCACCAGACTGTAATCACCCCATCTTGGAAGTGGGCACTTTGAGGGGAAAAAGGGGGGGGAAAGGACGAGGAAGGGGGGTGGGAAAGGACGAGGGGGGGAAGCATAATTAAAAAAAACATAATTAAAAGTTATATGAAACATTGTAGTGAAGAACTTGAAAAAACATTTATAAAAATAAACTTTTAATTATGGTTTTTCATTATGAACTCTTATTAAGATTCTTCCTATTACCTCAAGCCATTGTTTACAACCCAACTATATATATGGATTTGATTCCTTCCACTTGAATTTTATTCAGTTTTCTCTGCATTATATTCCCTCTGCATTCCCATTATTAGGATATATCATCAGGAGTTCTCAATATATATCCAAATGTACTTATACTGGTGGAGCGCTTATAGCTTTAGGAACCCCAACAATCTTGAGGTAACTCTGGCTCAGAATCACATGGTATAAATAAAGAAAGTATATAATAGTGAAGTATTCGAAAGAATTCACAGATCTGAGGACATCCCCTAGATGTGTAAATAATAGCTGGAAATTGAAATAAGTAAATAATATCAACGTGAATATATCTGAAAAGAATACTAATGATGAATCGAGAAAACAATCAATACAGAAACCTCCACAGCTTAAATAGCTGTACCTCCCTAATATCTATGTTAAATGGTGTCAAAATCAGACTCCTGACTTTAATGTTATATTTGTAGTGTCAATGTCTGAAATACATAAGGATACAGATAACATAGATAGCAATTCTAATTATACACAGCATTTGTATCAAAATGTCAAATGTTCGGCAGAGAAGCAACGAAATAATGCTGCTACCTCATTGTTTGAGTTGTGCTGTGTTTTCTATAAACTCTATGGGGTGAAAAAGACCCTGTGAAATGCTAATCAAAAAGGCTATTCATTCATATAGCTGTATGTGGGATTAATATCCTTTGTCTAGATACCCATCAAATACAGAATATTCAGTCCAAAGAAATTAAAGGGCTGATCATGAACGCCTATGATATTAGGTATAAAAAACAGGTATGTAGTTGAATACCTCATAGTGTATAGACAGAATATGCAGGAGGAAAAGAAAAGATAAAGCAATTAATACGTGCTAATGTGCAGGACCATACTTAGAGTGTTGGTCCTTGCACATGTGACAGTGTGCCCTGTGAAGTGAAGAAGAAAGAAGAAAACCCGACGCGCGTTTCGGTGCCACTAGCGTGCACCTTCGTCAGGGGCTGAAAGTTTAATGATGACTGGGTCACTGTTTATATGCATCCCGTGCTTACTAATTAACCACGTGGGCAAATCAGGTGATCAGGAAAAACGGCGCCAAACAAAGACCAGTATAACGCATAAATTATGCAAATGGACTTTTTGAACGGTCCAATGAAAAACTTCTCTTGCTGGTTTTTTCACCCCCCTTTTTTCCTCCTGATGCCTCTAGGTGCATTAGTTAACCCTTTGAATGTTCTGAGAATGAAATTTTCATAGAGAATGAATTTATGACTGCACGGATATCTTGTGTATAGTACTATTTCAATATCCCAATAAATCCAAGTCCTTCGAATATGTTCTTATACGATAGACATATTTATATAGGCTTGGACATAACATCAAATTAATGTCAGTCTAGAGTTAAAGGACGTGTGTAAACGGAAAAGACCGTACATGTCTTAGACCTTAACTCACAACTAGTTTAAAAGAGTTATGATGTATCCAATTTATCTAAATAGAACTGCTAACATAACTCTCTTTAGGGATATCAAATACATATATACAGAAATAGTAATAATGAATCCGTATGTAGATTTTCCACATTAATGTTCGATGCCGTTTTCAAAAAGGTACCAATCTCCTAGTGGTTATCTGAACAGCTAACCCTATATGAGAGACTATACAGATAATAGGTGGTATATACCGAACTCCAGCGGTGGACTAAATTATTATTATAATCGGAAGATGTTAAATGCCACCATATTTTGTGTCCCATATCATTATTATCTCTAGAGGTTTTAACCCATATGGGCACTTGAATAGTAACAAAAGAGAGGTGATAATAAATCAATAGCAAACAATTAATTACAAAATGTCGTGAACCGTTCATCATGACTCTCTTTAAGGATGTCAAATGCATATATATAAAGATAACAATGATAGATCCGTATATAGCTGTTACACACTAATATTTGATGCCGTTTTAAAGAAGAGATTACCGAACTCTTGGCAATTACCTGAAAGAATAACCCAATATGGGAAGCTATTCAGGTAATAAGTTGTATATATGTGAAGCATTTGTAAATAACTCAAAAGGTGGACAAGATTATTGTTGTAATCAAATGATGTAAGATGCCACCATATTTGGTGTCCCATATCCTTATTACCTATAGAGGTTTTAACCCATATGAGCATTTACATAATATCAAAAGAGAGATGATAATATATCCAGAATGTCGTAAATCATTCCTAAAATTCATCGGATAGCATTTAAAGAAACAGTGCCCGGTACTCAATATATGATATCAAAGTAGTCATTACAGAGTTGATATTTACAATATATACAATAAATAAAATGAAACTAGCATGCTCGTTAAGTTGAAGGTCAGGTTCTAGTCAGAAATAAAAGGAGTAAAAGAAAACCCCTCATTCAAGCCTAGAGGGGATAGAGTCTTCAGTTTGAATATCACATTAATGTGGAAAATCTACATACGGATTCATTATTACTATTTCTGTATATATGTATTTGATATCCCTAAAGAGAGTTATGTTAGCAGTTCTATTTAGATAAATTGGATACATCATAACTCTTTTAAACTAGTTGTGAGTTAAGGTCTAAGACATGTACGGTCTTTTCCGTTTACACACGTCCTTTAACTCTAGACTGACATTAATTTGATGTTATGTCCAAGCCTATATAAATATGTCTATCGTATAAGAACATATTCGAAGGACTTGGATTTATTGGGATATTGAAATAGTACTATACACAAGATATCCGTGCAGTCATAAATTCATTCTCTATGAGAATTTCATTCTCAGAACATTCAAAGGGTTAACTAATGCACCTAGAGGCATCAGGAGGAAAAAAGGGGGGTGAAAAAACCAGCAAGAGAAGTTTTTCATTGGACCGTTCAAAAAGTCCATTTGCATAATTTATGCGTTATACTGGTCTTTGTTTGGCGCCGTTTTTCCTGATCACCTGATTTGCCCACGTGGTTAATTAGTAAGCACGGGATGCATATAAACAGTGACCCAGTCATCATTAAACTTTCATCCCCTGACGAAGGTGCACGCTAGTGGCACCGAAACGCGCGTCGGGTTTTCTTCTTTCTTCTTCACTTCACAGGGCACACTGTCACATGTGCAAGGACCAACACTCTAAGTATGGTCCTGCACATTAGCACGTATTAATTGCTTTATCTTTTCTTTTCCTCCTGCATATTCTGTCTATACACTATGAGGTATTCAACTACATACCTGTTTTTTATACCTAATATCATAGGCGTTCATGATCAGCCCTTTAATTTCTTTGGACTGAATATTCTGTATTTGATGGGTATCTAGACAAAGGATATTAATCCCACATACAGCTATATGAATGAATAGCCTTTTTGATTAGCATTTCACAGGGTCTTTTTCACCCCATAGAGTTTATAGAAAACACAGCACAACTCAAACAATGAGGTAGCAGCATTATTTCGTTGCTTCTCTGCCGAACATTTGACATTTTGATACAAATGCTGTGTATAATTAGAATTGCTATCTATGTTATCTGTATCCTTATGTATTTCAGACATTGACACTACAAATATAACATTAAAGTCAGGAGTCTGATTTTGACACCATTTAACATAGATATTAGGGAGGTACAGCTATTTAAGCTGTGGAGGTTTCTGTATTGATTGTTTTCTCGATTCATCATTAGTATTCTTTTCAGATATATTCACGTTGATATTATTTACTTATTTCAATTTCCAGCTATTATTTACACATCTGGGGGATGTCCTCAGATCTGTGAATTCTTTCGAATACTTTAAGAGAAGGGGTTAAGCCCCATATGACACTGCTGGAGTGTCAATAAAGGTGATTTCTGTGGAGTTTCATCCATAGATATATTCTGTTTTTTTGAAATATAATAGTGAAGTACAGTTGAAATAACAGGTATATAAAAAGTATGTATATTTATTAAATCAATTCTAGACAATAAATACTCATGTAACTGCACTCAGACCAAGTTGCAGTGAAGGCAAGACAAACAGGATAAAATACAATCTTACAAGAGAAAAGTAGTGAGTATTTGCAGTGTCAAGCTGCTACTCACACACGTCTTGGTTCTCATAGGAACACTCAGCAGACAGTACAGCCGGTTGCAGTGCCCGAAATCCTCCACAGATGGATGTTGAGCTGGCTCTTGCAATATGCCGGGTCTGTTGTCCGTGTCCAACCAAGGTTGCCACGAATCTCGAATTACAATTTTTAGGTATTCAAAAGGTACTTTATAATTGGAGAGGGGAAGATTGTGTAAAAAAGTTAGGGCAGATGGAAAAGAGATGGATCTTTGAACTTAACACTCTCATTCCATATGGCCTGAATAACGATTTTGAGTTATGCCACTTTCTATGAATTATTCTATATAACTCCATATAAACTAGTAGTGGACCCTTTAAATTTCTATTGTTCTTTCCATAGATACAGTTTTTATATTATAATATTCTTTTTTATTGTCTGGTGCTTTTATATAATTTTAGCTGGGGATTAGCACTTTAAAATCTTGCATTTTAATATTTTGCACTTTAAGGTTTTGCTCTACATTTAAATGGAAATGGGCAATTTAAACAGGTATTCTCACCCTCATGATCTTCTTCTTATATCTATTTAATATGTATTATCAGGGCTAGTGAATTGTACTATTGTGAAAGATGATGGTAGTTATAGCAAAGAAATAATAATCATTGTTTCTTTATTTCTCCTTTGCATTTGCATTCATTTTGTAGGTGTTGTTTTTAAGAGTTACTGCATAGTATTTTAAACGTAGATTTAATTTGATTCAATTTACTTTGATTCTTATATGAGGCTTTTATTGTTAACCTTGCAATACAGTCTTCTGTTTTTAATGTTTTCCCAAGTAAAAGAATTGCTGATATGCAGTATATTTATATAGGAGTTTCCTACGAGCAGTACACATTATGCAAATAAGGTCTGCCATGTTCATCAAATGAATGGATAAGTAAGATGCTTCTTATAGTGAACTTGCACAAAGTGAGGTCATCACCGTTAACGTCCTGACTTAGCCTATCGGCTAAGAAAAGGGCTGAACATGTAAAAGAAAAAGATTCCCGAGGCTACATCACAGCTGACTGAGGAAGCTCACAGACGAGTGAAACACGTTGTAATGGCACCCCCAGGCATAAAATGGGTTTAGAAGATCTTCCCCTTCCAGATACACAGGCAGCTACCAAAGACACCAATCTGCCGAACAGGAAACCATATGAATGCTGTAAACAGCCGAACCGGAACCATACGAATGCTGTAAACAGCCAAATAGGAAAAACCATATGAATAGATTTACACCCCTAGCAGTCAAACTGGAACAGCATACAATAAATCCCCCCAAGAACGAGGCAAGGCTCCGTGTTGAGGGTCAAGCAGGAACAGACAATAAACACGTACAATACACTCAGACACTCCCACACAAAATCCTCCCCTCTGCCTGTGATACATTTACCTTACACAATGGGTAATGTAATTATCACAGGCAGAGAAATACAGTTTGTCTATTCATAACTTTAAAAGTATGCATCACATTCACACAAATGTACTTACATTTTCAGAATCAGCATACTCCAAATACAAACTTACGTCAAAATCATACAAATTGGTCCAGTGGTTCAAAAGATAGATCGTAGTCCTTTGTGACCAAATGAAGCATGGCTTTTCTGACCAAAACCAGTTCCACAGAGTCTTCTATCCTGCAAATAATTGGGAAGTAATCCAATTATCTCCAAGGACGGAGGCAAAACTCCACTGAACACATGGCAGCAAAAGACAATAAAATACATAAAAATATATAACTGTGCAGCCATTGCATAAAACAGGTACATTCAACATATCCCCAGATAGCTCAGATCTGAGCGCACACTATTACTAAATGGCGCCCAGATCACACACATACAGTTCAATTGCCATGGAGCCAAAGTCTTTCCCATAGTCTTTCATTATACGAATGGGCTCCATGGCATAGCTATCTGGGGTATCACCGCTCCAACAGGGCAAACACCGAATGACCCGGCTTTCGTGTCTTTGCGGGGTAAAATCAAGCATTTCAACATGGGGCCATAGTCTAAAGGCAGCAGGCGGGCAACCAGGCTCCTCCAATGCACAGTGACGAGATTGGTCTCGTCACACACGTTTTGGCTGACATTGGACCTTTATTTGGACTTTGTAAATTACATTTCCATTTTTTTATTTTTTATTTAAAACCCACAATATTGTGTTTTAATTTGGAAGCAATAAATTTACTTTTTATACCATTTAAGTCCTTGAAGCCTCCAGGAATTCTTTGTGGGAATTGCCATCCCAGAAATTGGCATACTGCTGGACACCCTTAGACCCAGGTACTTAAGGCTCTTAATAAGGTGAGCACAAAACTTACCATAAGTATATATACCACAATTTTGCACATTACTACTCATCTGGCCTATTTCCCTTCTCTCCTTTTTCTTTGGAGGAATACCATCAAGGAAAGGGGTATATTGCTGCCCAAAGAGCATTAAGGCCTATGTTACGGAGCCAATAACATACAGGCTCCAAACCACGTGAGTGGTTCTAGTTAGTCCACTTTCATCACTTAATAATATATAAGACCATCTGCACTATATATTTCTTTGTTTTTCTTTTACATGCATTTTCAAGTGTGTATTAATGGGGTAAGTGAGCCTCTTTATCACTTTAAATTCATACAGCGCTCCACTAATTGGTGTATATTGTATACCATATCTTTTAACATTGTAAACTGATTGTGGAAACAAGGGTATTCCACTTTATGTGTTTGAGCTGCTTCTTTGTCTAGGCACTATAAAGTATCACTCACTATCTCTGCAAAGAGACTGTTTTTGATTGTATAAATAGCTTAAAGGGACACTATAGTCACCTGAACAACTTCAGCTTAATGAGGTTGTTCAGGTGAGAACTATAGCTCCCTGCAGCCTTTCTCATGTAAACACTGTATTTTCTGAGAAAATACAGTGTTTACATTGAAAGCTAGGAACACCTCCAGTTGCAGTCACTCAGAGTGAACCAGAGGGACTTCGGAGTTGATGGAGGCACAATATGCCTCCATCCACTCAGATCTGCTGTCAGCAGAGCACAGGGCAGCACTGTGCACAGCATCCTGTGATTCAGTATATCCTCCCTCTGCATGCAGACACTGAACTTTCCTCATAGAGATTCATTGATTCAATTCATCTCTATGAGGAGATGCTGATTGGCCAGGGGTGTGTTTGAATCATGCTGGCTCTGCCCCTGATCTCCCTCTGTCGGTCTCAGCCAATCCTATGGGAAAGCACTGTGATTTTATCAGGCTACCACATGTAAGCAGACTGTTTGCTTTTCTGAGTCTAACAGCATGCAAATTTACAGCTTCTGGCTTGAATACAGTAAGATTTTTACTATATTTATGGAGGCATGAGGGGCCCAGGGGGGCTAGGTGGTGGTGTTAACACTATAGGGTCAGGAATACATGTTTGTGTTCCTGACCCTATAGTGATCCTTTAACTTTTAAATATTTCTTTCCCTCTTCCAGCTATAAAGATCAAAAACATCACTCTGTACACAGATGAACTGGTAGTAAAATCACCTTCACGACTCCTCATCCCTTGCCGATTTTACGCAGATGAACAAGTTGGGACTAACCAATTTCTACTTGAATGGGGATTGACCCCAGAAAATAGGGACAACTATACTCCAATCCTCCGTCTCTATGACACCATTCTGGAATATATGGAGAATGGCAACAGCAGAGCTCAGGTTTTTGTATACCTTGTGCAAGAAGGAAATTGCTCTCTTGTCATCAATCCCACCTACACCAATGACAGTGGAACATATGAAATTCGGCTTACCATTAATGGAGTGCAGCATTCTCCAGTCCCAGTAATTAAAGTCAAGGTGTTAGGAGACAAGACTGTGTGTGAGTATTAGTAAAGTCAAATATATTATCTCTATGAAACCATAGTACCACAGTGTCTCACTCGGCATGTTAATCATCTGGGCTATTTATTTTCTTCTTTTTTATAATTAAGACTTTTATTGGGTTTTATGCATAGCAAGACAAAAGCAAAACGTTATAAATGAGTCTTCTAGTGGAGAGTAATGGTAACAGGTAATTCTAGAACAGGGCATATCCCCACAGGTGTGGTCCTGTAACTAATTTACCATGTTGGTAACAAAATAATATAGAAAGGAAAGAACCCAGAATGAGAAAAAAAGGTAAGATGTGAAGAGAAAAATAGAAAGGTATTCGCAAGAGGGCTATTTAATTTTTTTATGTGCCTTGGGTAGCCCCCTACTTGAACCCCTCACGCCACTGTTCCACATACCACAAGGCTCAAGTACAAGCATTATCTATGATCTCTTTCAGACCAAGCCCTATTATTAACACCTACCAAACTCTGCACTTGGATATCACTTAATTCACGGACACAGCTAATGATCCACCCTCAAACTCCAGCCTTACCCAGTGCCCTTTAGTTTCAATTCACACCCTTAAAACATTACTCATTCCTAAATCATTTCCTTCTTCTGAAGAATAAACCGACGCGTTTCTCACTTATTGTTTTCCTTTACAGATCAAACAGAAGTGGATTACCAGTGTTTCGATAGTTAAAATCCCAAAACCATTTTTTGCAACTGTAGGCATTTGAAAAATCAACAAGTATGCATTCAACAATATTTAATAAAGTGCCTTACATGAGCAGATGTAACACCTGGACAAATACTGTGGTCTGCGCGTTCCGGTACAAAAACATTTTATCAAGACAAATCATCTGCGTGCACATCCCAAGATGTCGGACACCATATCCCCCTCTCCCAAAAAAACCTGAAAAGAGCTTTAACTGAAGCTAAAACCCTTCAGTGGTAATGCTAAAAAAACAGGCTACATGCGAGAGTAAACATACATTGTAAGTAGACAGACTAGCATCCATGTACTAAACAGCAAAAAACATTAGTGACCAAATAAAGATCCAATCCTTCATATATCATCGATTAGCTAGTAATATAATCCTACACTGAAACTAAAAGATAGGGCATCAAAAAAAGAATTTGTACCAGGCACATGTAGTGTCTATGAATCAAATGTATGACTGAAAAAATGAGGCTAACAAGAAACAAAGTTGCATAATGTATGAAGCTAAAGAGGCACTATAGGCAAGCAGAGCTCTTCGTTTCATTGAAGTAATCTGGGTGCATTGTCCCTGTTCATGTAACCCTGCAATATATATATATATATATATATATATATATATTTTTTTTTTTTATATATATATATATATATATATATATATATATATATTTATAAACACTAAAAGCACCTGCCTAATATCGTGTAGGTCCTCCTAGAGCTGCATTGAGACATGAACTCCACAAGACCTCTGAACGTGTCCTGTGGTATCTGGCAACAAGACATTGGCAGCAGATATTTTTTCTGCAAGTTGCGAGATGGGGTCCCATAGATCGGATTTCTTCTTTCAGCACATCCAGCTGATGCTCAATCCGATTGAAATCTGGGGAATTTAGATGCCAAGGCAACATCTTGAACTTTTTTTCATGTTCCTCAAACCAATCCTGAAAAAGTTTTGCAATGTGGCAGGGTGCATTATTCTACTGAAAGAATCCTGCCATCAGGAAACTCCATTGACATGAAGGGATCTACACAGTCTGCAACAATCTCTAGGTAGGTGGTATGTGCCAAAGTAACAGCCACATGAATGCCAAGACCCAAGATTTCCCAGCAGAACATTGCCCAGAGCAAATTACTTTCTCTACCTGCCCTCTTCCCTGCTGCTATACCCCAGGTAAACAACACACATGCACCCGGTCACTCACCTGATCTAAAAGAAAACGTGATTCATCAGACCAGGCAAACTTCTTCCATTACTTTTGGTGGTGGACAGCAGTCATCATGGGCATTCTGACTGGTCTACGGCTGCTCGGCAAACTGTGATGCACGGTGTTCTGACTTTTTTCTATCATGGCCAGCATTACGTTTTTCAGCAATTTGAGCTACAGTAGCTCTTCTGTATGATCTGACCAGACTGGATAGCCTTCACTTCAAACGTCCATCAATGAGCCTTGGTTGACCATGACACTTACGCCGGTTCACTGGTTGTTCTTCCTGCACCACGTTTGGTAGGTACTGACCACTGCATACTAGGAACACCCCACAAGACTTGCTGTTTTGAAGATGGACTGACCAAGTCATCGAGCATCACTATGTTGCCCTTGTCAAAGTCACTTAGTTTTTTTCGCTTGCCCATTTTTCATGCTTCCAACACACTAAATTCAAGAACTGGCTGTTCACTTGCTGACTAATATATCCCACCCCTTGACAGGAGTTATTGTAACAATTTAATCATTGTTAATCACTGCACCTGTCAGTGGTTTTAATGTTGTGGCTGATCAGTGTGTGTAAAAAATAAATAAATTATATAATATATATAAATTTTTGGTCAGGTACCATAAGCCGATAACATAATAATGTTGATACATAATTATATTGAAAAGTCAGTTGTGGTGTGCCGAAACCGACGAGTGGTTAGGCCTGTAATAAAGAGGGCCCACCTTGTAGTGATTATGTTATATAAAGGGAGAGGTGGGAGGGCAACACTGAGGCATTGACTGCAGGTAAGGGGAGGGGTTCCATGTTATATAGGCTGAATAACCTCTCCTACAACTACAGCCTTCTCCTTTTAATTTGTGATCGGTTACCATAAGCCGATAGCTTAATAATGATGATACATAATTATATTGAAAAGTCAGTTGTGGTGTGCGAAAACGGACAAGATTAGGCCTGTAAAAATTATAATGCAAAACGTTATTAGAGTAACATATGTATAATATTACAGAGTAATAGTATTGAAGGCATTAATGATTTCTTGTTCTGGTTGTGGTATGTACCTAGAATAGGCAGATGACTTCCAGCGGCCCGTTTTCTTTATGATGTGTGCAGGAACATTATGACTGGAGGCTGCGGAAGCCGCATCTATGCGAAATGAGTGACCTAAGAAAGAATTAGGATTTAAACATTAGATAATCCTAAGGTATAAGATAGATGTTTGTGTTGTGAGAGAATTTCTATGTAACGGTAGCAAAGTAAAACAGGGGAGTTTACTGGTCAGTGATTTGGTGAGATCATTTAGAACCTTTACTGAACACCATTTGGTATTTGAAATTTAGAAGGGTATTTCTACCTCAGGGCCTGTCTAACTGGTCTTACTATGTTTTAATGACAGGGTGTAATGATCTTTGGTATTATTTAAGTCTTGTATCTCAAGGCAATTTTCGAGTGTCTGAAAACTTAGTAACCATTAAAGGGACACTATAGTCACCAGAACAACTACAGCTTATTGAATTTGTTCTGGTGAGTAGAATCATTACCTTCAGGCTTTTTGCTGTAAACACTGTCTTTTCAGAGAAAATGCAGTGTTTACATTACAACCTAGAGATAACTTCACTGACCACTCCTCAGATAGCTGTTTAAGATACTTCCTGGGTCATGGCTGCCTAAAATGCATCCAAACATTCAGTATCTCCTCCCTCTGCATGCAGACACTGAACTTTCCTCATAGAGATTCATTGATTTAATTCATCTCTATGAGGAGATGCTGATTGGCCAGGGCTGTGTTTGAATCATGCTGGCTCTGCCCCTGATCTGCCTCCTTGTCAGTCTCAGCCAATCCTATGGGGAAGCACTGTGATTGGATCAGGCCACCACTTCTGATGATGTCAGCAGACAGCTTGTTTTTTTTTAGGCAAACAGCATGCGGAGTTACAGCTTCTGGCTTGAATACAGTAAGATTTTGCTATATTTATGGAGGCATGAGGGAACTAGATGGTGGTGTTAACACTATAGGGTCAGGAATACATGTTTGTGTTCCTGACCCTATAGTGATCCTTTAACTCTTTGGGTCCCCGTAAAAGGCCAAGTAAGTGGCAACTTTTATAACAATGTTAGTTTGTTGTTCAAATGGCGTGTTGTCCAATAAATCAGAGATTGCTTGGAATTTGGGACTATCTATTGGAAGTCGTTTTGGTGTTTATATGACATAAAATTTTTCAATTCCTTTCAAAACACTCTTAATGGGATAAGATGAAAGGAAAGGTATAGTATTGGGAAATTATGTAAGCATATGATGTTTTACGGCATTGAGCTATTTTTTTTTTTAATTTTTTTTTTTTTTTAATTCTTTATTTTTGTTGTGCAAAAAGATTAACAATCATGCTTGCTATGCCACAACGGCAGACATAAACATTTCAATAAACAGATTAGTATGGCATGTAATTGATAACTGCACTTTTTTTTTTTCTCACAAGTTAAGTTACGTATTCAAGCTTACTATTACATGTCAAATGGAAGTAAACGCTGTAGCTACTGTCGCATAGTTGCCACCTGACATGTGAAAAGACTTTCACATTTTATGGTATGTAAAGTAATAGAAAAAACATGACTAATGACAGACTTGGATATTGCAGGCTTCATATGAATTTTTAACTAAAAACGCATGAGGAGAAACACATGAGAAGATCCACCAGGTTGTTATGGGAAAGGTGTTAAAATTAGTGTGGTGGCCACTGGGACTCTTTAATGTAATGTCGTTACAACTAAATGCCTGTGGCAAATTGAGAAGCATGTGACAGGAATCACAGACAAAAAAAACCCCAGAATAAACAGAATAACATTCTTGGCTAGTGTGGGGCACTTGCAGATTATTTGCTTATGGTAAGGCAGTTCATCTACTTAGCCGATGCCACAAGCAGGCTTCTTCTGGGAGCCAATTCTGCACTTCTCCATGGTTTGCTTGGTGTTTCTGCTCCAGCATCCCCTCTGTGTCAAGAGGCCCTCGGGTGCATGAAGAACTGTATTTTTGTATGGATCAATCGAGCGGCGTTCCATCATCCGCTCCGCCCGCCGAACCCGGGTCGGCCGACGAGCCGGTGCCTGGGAACCACCAGCCCCTCCAGCTCCCTTGAAAGGGTTAACGTCCTGGGGATTCTCCATACCACAGGCAGTTTCCCTCTTGTGTGGCTGCTGGACGGGCACCGCGCCCATTGTGACTCCTGGCCCAGGGGGTACCGCGGGTACCAAGGGTACGGTGAGTATCCGTTCTGCTTGACGGGCCTCCAGTCGGCTCCAAAATGCTGCGCAGATCGCGTCAAAGGTAGCAGTAAATTTGGCTTCCCAGCTGCTTGCTGAGTGTGTGGTTGTTGTGGCGGCCATTTTAACAGCACCATGCAGTCGTGCTCTGTCCCAATAGCTTTTAGCTGTATCGCCACAAGGTCTGCTGTTGCTTTTTCCCTGGTGGGGACGGGGATAACCCCCACCGGTCCAAAGGGGGGGGGGGTGAACGGGCAACCTCTTCAGTAATTGCAGAAGGTCCAGGAGGGAGAATGGCTGCTTCCCCTCCTCAAGGCCCGCCTCAAGCTTGTAGGCCCAAATTTAATTTCGAGCCGCAGGTCGATAATAAAGGCTCCAGACTCGCACAAGAAAGCTCCCCTGCATACTGGAACAGATAATGAACTGTTTGGTGGTCATTTGGGGGCAATAATCCCACTGTAAAGGTTTGGATTACAAGATTTTTGTGAGGAGCTCACTTTCAGCACGTCTGGCTGCCTTGCTGGTCAGGCCCCGCCCCCGGCATTGAGCTATTTTGATGGTGATGTGAGCTAGTTTGAGCAATAGGTGGCAAAAAGTGGTGAATTGACCAGTGTTTCAACAGAAAAGGTGTTTATTATTTGAAGATCGAGACAAACATTTAAAATATGTTAAATGCTCTATTATAAGATTTTCTTGTATTGTTGGACAGTCCCACTTGTGCTAAAGTTTTACTGTGTGACAGTAGAACATTCAGTTCATGATAAGTTCCTGGATGTTCGGGGGTCCTGTTACCTATTGGTTCACTGTGGGATGAACTTTAAAAAATTGCCGGAAATTTAAACGTAACAGAGCATCAGGGGTTGTATTAGGATTTCCAGGTATCTATGTACATACAATATAAAACTGCTGAGTGGCCACCAGCCAGGTTAATTTCCTGACTAATTTCATAATGATTAAGGAGTTTGAACGACCTTTATTTAGTATGTGACAGGCTGCTTGATTGTCAAGAAAACACCTTACATGCTTGACCTTTCCATGACTTACACAAAACATCTGCCACCACTACAGTGGAGAAAATTTCAAACATAGCGGAGGAATTATCAAAATTGAGCAATTCAGTAGTCTCAGAGGGACAGCGAGTTTGGACCTACTTGTTACCGTATTTGGCAGCAAAGCTTAAGGAGCTCAATGCGTCTGTCCAGCTGACAGGTGAGGTTTTTGAAATAGAGGGTATGAACATGGATCTGCCATTCCATGATGACAGAAACAGTTGCCACATGGAAATGTCACCTGTTGCTTATTCATCAATTGTAAACCTACTGTCGTCATCGGGAAGGCTTTGCAACATCCATAACAGTCTGGAAATAAATGCTCTACCTTGTGGAATAATTTGCATAGTGAAATTGATTGGCCCAAGTAGTGACTGTAGTTGTTCATGAGTACATGAACCTTGTTGTAAACAGTTTGCCATGTATTCTTGTATTTTCCAAATGTTATCATCTGGAAGGCTAGCTTCTATAGTGTCTGAATTAAGATGAATACTGAGGGAAATTATACTGGTATATGGACCTTCTGTCCATATGAAAGTTGAGAGACTGTGGATTTTTTTTTTACCCATGGGGAGAAATTATACCTGTGTGGAACACTGACAAAAACCCCAAAGTTAGAAACTCTACCAAGTGAGGTGATGGGTGGTTTGCTAAGCTAAGGGTTAGTGTAACAGCATTTGTATTACCCTGGTAACTATTCTGTGGTGGTGGAATAGATAGTTGGAAAGATGGGCCAGCTAGGTTGGCCGATTCCTTGATCTCAAGTGTGTTTATGGAGTTGATGGATGTCGATATTGACAACATCATGGCATGTAAATCTGAAAGACTGCACTGGACTGATCCTTCCTCACTGGGCCCTGGTATTGCTGTGACAGTGTTTTACCTCATTAGTCTTACTGGCTCAGCCTTCCTTGCTGTGGCTGGATGTTCTTGCGTTTTTAATTACGCTGTTATTCTTTGGATAGTCCAAGACCTTACTGAACTTGGCCTTGCCGAAAGTCTGGTTGGGTACTCTGTTCTAGCCAGAGTACTAGGCAATGAAATGAAATTCTACGTAATGGAAATTAGCAGCGATTATCTCATTATTATTGCAATTATTTAGTGTGAAACAGCGGCTAATTGGTGGAAAGTGGCAAAATTATATTACTAGATGTTACTAGTGGTAAAAGTTGTCCAACTTATGAATTTGGGGTGTTGATGCCACAAACATAGTGGCAGGGAGTTTTCCTCTTGGTGACAATTATCAAGCGTCAAGATAGATCTGGTGTGACTGGTGAGACCCTAACTATACTGTGTGCGAGGCACTACCTATGCATTGGGCCGATGGGCGAATGTACCCCCATGTTAAAAGAAGGAAGTTTGCCTCACTGGACCACTGAATTAAAGGACCACTATAGTGCCAGGAAAACATACTTGTTTTCCTGGCACTATAGTGCCCTGAGGGTGCCCCCGCCCTCAGGGTCCTCCTCCGCCAGGCTCTGGGGAGAGGAAGGGGTTAAAATCTTACCTTTCTCCAGCGCCGGACGGGGAGCTCTCCTCCTCCTCTCCTCCTCCTCGGCTGAATGCGCATGCGCGGCAGGAGCTGTGCACGCATTCAGCCAGTCCTTGGTCCTGGTCCTAGTCCCGGTCTGTTTTCCTGATCCTGGTGCATGTCACCAGTAATACTTTAATATATCTTGGTTTCTAACCTCTGGCTTGACCCTGACCACGCTTCTTGTTTCCAACTCTTGATGTCCTGCTCTCTATTTGTGGTTCTCCTGGCTTCTGCCCTTCAAGTTGACCCTCGAACTTGCTTCTTTGCTGCTAGGGCTGACCACCTGACACCACTTCCTGCCTTTTCCTTTCTGGTTTCTCCTTTTCCTCTGTAAATAAAGGCACCTGTGCCCTCACAGATCTCCCAGGTTCCCGTATCACTCTGAGGCACCTGGGAGGGTCGTGTTTGCAAGGAGTTGCCAATCCACTGCTACTGAGTTCCTCTCCAAGCAAACCAACTGGTAGGTTGTCACATTGTGTCAGATACAAGGTACTGCAGGAAGATTTGGGGGCCACGAGAACTTGGCAGGCATCGACTGAAGCTAATGGAAAAGGATACATGTTATATAGGTGTCACGGCTGCTAGTGTGGTCCAACACACAGAAACTATGTAAACATATACATACAAAAGGAAAGGAAATAAAAGGACAGAGCGTAAACCGGACCTTAGAATGGCCGGACTAATACGCTAGAGATAGAGAATGGTCAAAGGGAAAGCCGAGGTCAAGGAAGCCAGAAATACTTAGATACCGTTTAAACAAGCCAAGTCAGGGGAACCAGAATTCGGAATAACCAGGGAAAAGCCAAGATCAGGATACCACGAAGTAATATACACAAAGATAAACGCACTCTAGGGAACCAGGAACAGGAAACCACGACAGGGCAAGGTACTGGGGTGAATTAGGGATTTAAATATCCCTCTCTAGGCTCTGATTGGTCAGAGGGTGACCTCTGACCCCAGAACGTGCGCGTGCGTTGAAGTCGTGACGTCACGCGCACGTTCATATAATTTTGGGGGGTGGAGCCATGGATGGACGCGACCTCATGGTCGGCACCATCTTGGACTTCCCCGAGCGGCGTGGAGGAACGGTTCCCGGCTCGCCGCTGAGCAGGTAAGCTCAGTGAGTTGGAGCGGTCGTGCCAGTCGGGCACGGACGCACATGGCAGCGAGCCGGGGACCGTGACAATAGGCCGGATAACCCCTCCCACAACTACAGGCTCACGCATTTTTATATATCAAAAGAGTTAGGGCAGAAAAATTATACACCAAATATAAAAAAAAACTAAATAACAGCAGCACTGTAGTCAAAATATAACTATTATGCCTGGTCCCCTAGCCTTCTTTTTCGCCTTTATATTAATTTCATCTAAAAAAAAATTTTCATTTGAGTGCATATTATTATAAAAACTTACCTCTGTTCCAGCACCGAGATCCTCAGCAGGCTCCGCCCCCATTTTTGTCAAAATTGCGATGTAGCAGGGCTCAATCAAACCCTTCTGTTAGAGAAACTAATGCCGCTCTATGAGTGAACACTGAGCGCATTATTGCGCGTTCACAAGCTGAGCTGACTTATAGCTCAGCTCGCTGTCTATGTCCTCCACTTCCTACCGCAACCCTCAACCCAGATACATGAAGGCAGCATCCACTACAGTACAGAAAATATAGTGTATATACACCATATATAAAGTTTGTGTTTGTATAGAAACACTACATATCAAGATATTTCTCTATATATAGTGATTGTATACACACACAAATTGTATATATTATGTATATACACTATATCTCTCTCACTCTCTGACAGTCTCCCACTGACTCTCTATTTGACTCTCTCTGACTCTATTTCTCACTCTCTCTAATTCTCTCTGACTCTCTCACTCCAACTCTCTAACTCAGACTCTAACTCTCTCTCTCTGTAGTTCTCTCTCACACTCTCACATGCTCTATCTGACTCTCTCACTCCAACTGTCTAACTCCAGTTCTCTAACTCTCTAGCTCTCTTTTACTCTCTCTCTCTCTCTAACTCTTACTCTCTTTAACTCTCTGACTCTCTCTGGCTTTCTAACTCTCTCTTAATCTTTCTATCTCTAACTCTCTCTCTGGCTCTCTCTGACACTCTCTCTCTGACTCTCACTAACTCTCTGTATCTATATCTATATCTCTAACTCTCTATCTCTCTAACTGTCTTAATCTATCTTCATATCTATCTATCTATCTATCTATCTATCTATCTCTAACTCTCTCTGACTCTTTCACTCTGACTCTAACTCTCTCTCTAACTTTCTCTCTCACTCTAGCTCTCTCACTCTAACTCTCTCTCTAGCACTTTCTCTAATTCACTGATTCTATCTCTCTTTCTCTCCCTGACTCTCTACACTGACACTCTCTCTCTGACTCTAACTCTATCTATCTATCTCTAACTCTCTCACTCATGCTCTTTCTTACTCTCTCACACTCTCTCTCTCTAGCTCTCTCTCACTTTCTCTCTCTCTCTATAACTCTCACTCTGTGAAAAGAGTTCATATCTCCATAGACATGGGACTCCTCCCACCAAGCCATATAAAGGTTAGCATAGAACAGGGGTAGGCAACCTTTTAGCAGCACTGTGCCGATATAGGATTGTGATGTCCCGTAGCGTGCCGGTCCTATTTTTTAAAATTGAGTTCTGTATGCTGCCGTATTCTGCTTGTGTTATTTATATTGTAATTGCTTTGTATCTTTGTATTTGTGCGTATATGAGCTATTATATTGTATATGTTCAGGAGTAGTTTGTGGTATCGTGTACCTATGAATGTGGGCTGTGTATGGGGGCTGCTTGTGGAATTGTGTGTGTGGATGGATATGTCACATTGTGTGATTGGTAGTGTGTGTATGTGTGGGGGCTGTTTGGGGTATTGCATGTGAGAGGCTGCATGTGGGGTTGTGTGCATGTATGTGGATTGTTAGCGGGTTACATTTGTGCGGATTGTGTGTATGTTTGTTTGTTTGCTGTTCGTATTATTTGTATGAGGGGAGGGTTATTGTGCATTTCTGTGTATATCTAGCAGTGTGGGTGGCTTCCCTGGGTTCCAGTGGGGACCAGGCTGGCCAGGTACAAGTGAAGGGCAGGAGCTGCAATATCCACTGTAGAGCTGCTCTACCACAGTGTGGATTCCCATTCACAAGTGCTGGGAGGAAGTGATCTGAGGTCACTTCCTCTACGTGCTGCAATATATAAATTGAGGATTGTCCTTCACCACCTTTTCGTATTAGCAGATATCTGAGGTTTCTGATTTGGCTCTAGCAGCCTTGAATGCCGTGCATGGCACTAGTGCCTTAGGTTGCCTACCCCTGGCATAGAGTAAGGAAGATTTAGTCCCGTTAAATATTGAACCATATTAAAGATAACAAAGGGCTAATGTCTCAAGATGATACTTCAAAGCTATCATATGTTTGGCATCAGGAATAGAAGAATGCATCCATTGAGGCCAAGGCTTAGAGTGACCCTTTAAGAGAGATATGATCAGAAGTCAGTAAAAAGATTACGATCACGGCTTGCAGGCTGACTTCTGAGTGTAACTCAGCATAGTCAGTGGACCCATTTTCATCAAGCAGGAACAGCTATTCAAGTCCTAGCCCAGCAGTTCCAAAACTGTGTGCATGATCATAGCAACGGGAACTGTGCCTCCCTCTTCCCTGCTGGCTCTGCAGGACTGGAGGGGAGATCGGAGATCTCCCTTTCTAGCCTGCTAGCAGTGTAATGCTAGCAGGCAGGGGAGGGAGAGAGGACCCGGGGGAGCTCTAACCTGCAGCTCCGCCGGGTTCTCCTCTCGCAAGCTCGGAGCGTTGCCGCGGTTACCATGGCAATGCTCAGAAGCTCGCAAGAGTGAACTCTAACAGCTCCTGAGGCTGCTAGAGTTCACGCTCACCACTGGGACCACGAGGGCTTCCCCACCGGAACACCAGGGATTGCACCAGGAAAACACCAGGAAAACTCCCCCTATACACACTGCCCCCTATACACACACACTGCCCCTATACACACACACACACACTGCCCCTATACACACACACTGTACCCATCACACACCTTGCTCCCCCATACACACACACTGTACCCCACACACACACTACCCCCATAAACACACACTGTACCCCTCTCATACTCTGCTCCCACAAACACAGTGCCCTCTCAATTCACACACACTGCCCCCACGCACACACACTGCCCCCCACATGCACACACTGTACCCCTCACGCACACACTGCAGCCTTCAAACACACAAACACAATGCACCCCACACAAACACTACATCCTTCACACAACCACACTACATCCTTCACAAACACAATGCACCTCCATACACACACACTTAACCCCACACGCATTGCACCGCTCACACACACACACATACATTGTGCCCTGAATTAAAGACAATACTGCTAATCATAAAGTGCTAAACATTTCAAGGTTAGCCTAACCCTAAGAGGAAAGTTCTTACAAATATTTTTTGAGCTTGAGATTTGTTTTCCAGTATAAAAGTTTGGTTCACATTTGGCAAATCGCACAACAGAACAACACACAGTACAGTCAACAGATCACCCTGCTTCATTTAGACCACAACAAGTGCCTTCAAGTTCCAAATGTATTCAAGTATAGGTACATATCAGAACATGAAAAAGGATGACACATGCAGTTATTATTTATTAGGAAATGAAAAACATTTAATTTACACTTTGTTTCAGTTTATTATCTTAATTTCTCCTCTGCAGCCTTGCCTGAAGAAATCCAGTCTGTGAACGAAGAGGGGGAGAGAGAAAATACTATAAATGAGGCGGAATCTAGTGAGGAAAAGGAGGCAGAGGATGTCGTGAGTGTACCACTTCATGCAACCGCAGAAGGTGGAGGCAGTGAAAAAAAATCAGAGTCATTCGACTGCAACAGCTTTGCACCCCAGATCTTGCTATATGCTCAAATTCTCCAAAAACTGGAGCATGAACATAAGCTAAAATTACTAACTTATGGTGTGATAGTGTTTGGAATTCTTCTCAGCATTGGTTCTTCAATAGGTGTAATTATTGGGTAAGATGCTTTTATTATTGGTCTTGTGTCAATTATGTACCAACTAGCAGCTCCTCAGATGTTGAAATACAAACCCAAGGATTTCTCACTAGCCTGTAGCAATTGAAATCCTGTCTGGAATAATGGAAGTCTCTTGTTAAAGGGACACTCCAGGCACCCAGACCACTTCTGCCCATTGGAGTGGTATGGGTGCCAACTCCCACTACTCTTAACCCTGCAAGTGTAATTATTGCAGTTTTTATAAACGGCAATAATTACCTTGCAGGGTTAACTCCACCTCTAGTGTCTGTCTACTAGACAGCCACTAGAGGGCACTTCCTGCTTCATAGCACAGAAAACCTGTGCTAGAGCATCGCTGGACGTCCTCACGCTGTGTGAGGACCTCCAGCGTCGCTCAGTTCCCCATAGGAAAGCATTTAAAAGCGTTTTCAATGCTTACCTATGGGGAGCTCTAAGGCGCATGCGCGGCATTGCAGCGCATGCACATTAGGTCTCCCCGGCCGGATCAGTTTCGAAACGTAATGCAGAGGAGGAGCGGCGGCGGAGGAAGTATCAGCGACGTGAGACATGTCGCTGCCCCTGGTAAGTGACCGAAGGGGTTTTCACCCCTTCAGCAACCAGGGATTGGGAAGTGGGAGGGAGAGGGGACTTGCAGTGCCAGGAAAATGGATTGTTTTCCTGGCACTGGAGAGTCCCTTTAAGCTATTGCTGGAAAGCTACTTTTTAGTTACCTCTCTTTTAAAGGTAATAACTCATAGCCATTTCACTAAAATCCTTTGATACTGTCCAGATTTCTGGAAAAAATGAGGTTCAGATGGGGGCATCAGCGTTGGAGGCACACTTTAGGGTTAAGTCATTCGAGAATGGTTTGACCCCTTAAGATAAGAATGTGGCTTCCTGGCACCATTACAATTTTATTTACATGATGTTGTTATGGTGACTGGAGTGTCCCTTTAACCATGCAATGTATCTAAACAAAAATGCAATGTTTTTATATTGCAGGTTTAAAAGGACAGGAACACTGCACCCAGACCACTTCATTGAGGTCTGGGTGACTTAACAGAGATAACAAAGGACTTAAAGGAGCAATTTAGGCACCAAACAAAACATAAGTATTGGGCCTTATATTCATGTTTTTCTCACTTTTCATATGTCTTTATTACTACCAAGTGAACTTAAGTTGTGTTGGTGCCTGAAATAAATCTGGAGAGTTTTTTAAGATTTAACAAAAAAAAAATACATGACTTTATTCTAAATATTATTTAAAAAATGTCAAACTGTACTGTAGAACTGTAGAGAAGTGTTTCTCCTTTTACAGAGAAGCACCTCTGCAGTACCACTGTCTTGAGAAATTAATGTGTAGACACTGATATTTAAGTTAATCCCATATTACAGAACAAGCATGATTACAGGGTAAGTAATATTTTTAAAATAAATATAAAATAATGTGAATATTGTTTATTTAAGAAGGAATTTATGAACTATTAATCTGAATCACAATAGTCACAAAATGAACATATAATACACACTTAATAGCTATACACAAGGACACTGACACCCACACCCACCCACACAGTTACACACAGTGGACACTGACAAACACACAACATTTGTATGCAAAGGATACTGACACACACATTTACTCACAGACAGACTCACCGATTTAACACACATTGACAGACACACTTACTGACAGACTTACTGATTTGACACACACTGGCAGACACATCCACTGACACAGACCCTCACTGATCTGACACACACTAACAGACACACACACATTCACTGACAAACACTCACAAATTATTATATATTTTGTGTAGTTATTTTTATTTTCTGTGTCTCCTACTTCCTCTCAGATCCCTTTGTGTGTCTTCACCTACCTCTTTGTGTGTCATTTTCTCCAATCCAGCTCCTCAGTGTGTCTCTTCCCCCAAGCACCTTTGTGTGTCTGTCACCCCCTTGTCTCTTACAATTTCCTTGTGTGTCTTCCCCCTAATGCCTTTGTTTGTTTCTTTCTCCCCCCAGCTCTTCTGTGTGCCTCTTCCACAAGCACCTTTGTGTGCCCCTTTCTCCCCTTCCACAGCCTTTTTGTGTATCTCATTCTCCCCTCCCCCCCCTCTGTGGTTATCTTCCTCCCAGCCACTTTGTGTGTCTCTTTCTACCACCAAGTTTCTCTGTGTCCATTTCTCCCCTTCTCGCCCTCCCCAGCCTTTCTGTGCCTATCTTCTCCCCAGCCATTTTGTGTGTCTCTTTGCCCCTTTCCCAGCCTCTCTGTGTCGCCCCTACCCCCCAGCCCCTCTGTGTGTCTTTCTACCAAACCCTTTGTATCAGAGCTCCAATACCTCACATAGGTATCTCCACTGTATAATCCTTGTAGCTGAAGAAGCAGTAAAATATCCAGGACAAAATCCCCCAGTAACTGGATGACACACAGTTCTGGGAGTCAACTGAGCTTTATTTGGTCACACGGCTTTTATGCACTGACCCCTACTTGGGGTCTCTCACACATTGCAGGGGATTCCCTCCCAAAATTCTCTGTGTCTGAGAGATAATTGCGTGAGAAAAACTCTATAATTCAAGTATCTCTCAGGTACAGAAAAATCTACAATAATTTCAAACACCCCAAAAACACTTTTTAATATTTCAGAACCCCGTGAAAGTTACATTACCGAATAGCTGAAATCTGAGTGCACATTTTGACGAAATATCACTCAGATCTCTTCCGTGGTTCGGGAAGACAATTCGAATTGAGTTTTTTTTTTTTTAATTCTTTATTTTTGTTGTGCAGGTAGTTACAGCGGTGCTTGTATTGCCACAACAGCATTCACAAGCTCGATCGTAAGATACATAGGGTAACATGAGTATGGCATGGATACAACTTGCACATTTTATTTATTTTGTGGTTCAAGATCGCAGTTAGATTACTGAAGCAAGAGTTAGAGTATGTGTAGCACTTCAACAATATGGAGCATGATAATGAACTACGTATGCGATCTGACAATATAGTAGTTTAGTTGAGAGTTAATCCTATGTGTCAGGTGGATGTTACAGCTTATGAGGTACTAATATAGAATTACATACTGACATTTTGGTGAGACAAAAATTCTCAGGCTTAGCTAAGGTAGGTACTTGGATATAGTACCACCAGGCATAGTTTAGCATACTGGGTAGACAACAATAGGCAGAAAAATAAAAATATTTACTATAACAGTAACTGCGGTATTAACAGCAGGGATGTCCGAGTAACAGTAAATGCAGCCAAAGTAATCTCTTATTGAGGCTGTCGGGGACAGTTTCCACGGTATGTGTCTTTGGTGCAATTCGTCGTGAGAAGCTGGGGTCACCGCTGGCTCTGACAATGTGGAAGGTGTTAAAAGGTGGCTGATTCCCATGCATAGGGAGCTTCCCTGTAGGGTACCCACGAGGTTCACTGAGTCTCTCAGTCCCGCACAGGGTCTGCAGATTGCCGGTGACAGACTTTCCGGTCATTAGGTGGGTATGCGCTCTGTGCTTTTCAAGCCACAATGTCCAGGTGCGGGCTGCATTTAGGTTAGCTGGCGTTTGAAGATGGCCTCTCTGAGCACTCCTCCAGTGTTGATCTCGAGCCTCAGTTGTGGAAAGCGCTGGTAAGGCGTGCTTAGATGGAGCAGGTACTGAGCCTGTTTCAGAGGATTACCGCTTCGGTGTAAGTGCCCGTCTGCGGTCGTATTCCAGATGTGTTTACAGCTTGGGTTATGTGGTTTACTGGCTCTTCTTCAGCGCGCCATAAGGGGTTCATCCTCTCCTGGTCTGCCATTAGGGTGATTGCGCCGCCGTCGGCCATTTTAAGGAGGCCGCGTGAGAGCCGCTTTTGGTGTTGAGTCACCCAGTAGCGATGCAGAGATGTTTGCTTGCCTGCCTGGTGGGGACCGGGATGACCCCCGCCGGTCCAAAGGGGGGGGTGAACGAGGCCGGGGAGGGCATCAGCTTTAGTGTAGTGTCGCATTAGCCGTGGCAGAAAGCGGGGCAGCGGCCGTCCGCCCCACTCCCCTCCTGAGTAGGCCTCAGTCCCCAAGCCCCAGAGCATCTCTCCAGGACCCAGAATCACCTGTATCAGGTGCTCTAGCTGCACCGGGACACTCCAGGACCTGATGCCACGAACTTCCAGGGTATTCCAGGCAGAATAAGGTGGATATTTGCTCAAAATTAGTTGGATTCCTCAGGAGCCATAGTGACTTGCAGCCTGCTAGCATGGCCGCCCGGCCCCGCCCCCGCCCCCCTCGAATTAAGTTTTTTGACCGGTTAGCCACGAGGTGATGGCCCAAAACAGTTCCCGAGAAAATCAGGCAACGGTCGGTCATCTTTCAGGGGTTCTAACACGAAAACCAACAAATGCTCCCCCTGGCTGTTAGCATACAAATTTTCCCCCTTTTCGGTAGTCTATGTCTCCTGAACACTGTTTACATAACAGTTTGGGAAGTTGGATGGGCAGTGGTATCAATTTACCAGGTGTTCGCTGGGTCGTGTAGCCAAAAACAGTTTCATGTCGTCGATGACCATGTACCGCTACCCGCGTGCGAGAGACAAAAATGGCAGCCATTTGTTTGCACATGTGCGTTCAGCTATACAAACCGCGGCCACACAGGGGAACCATTTTCCTTAACAAGCTATTTGCTGTTAACAGACAGGGGTGGTCGGTTAACAGTTAAAAGATGCGAACACATGGACCACACAGATGGGGGTTCGGTAGACGAACAGGGTGGGGGGTACAGACAGCCGAATGAAAGGAATAAAAAGTATATAATAGCATTCATTTCTCTACACCCTTTTGTGTGTCATTCCCCCTTTCCCCTCTGTGTATGTCTTACCCACTGACGTACATACCGCGGTCGCCGGGGTCGCAGCTGCGACCGGGCCCGGCCCACCAGGGGGCCTGGCCGCCCTGCAACCCGGGTATGTACGCCAGTTTGTCAGCCTCTTCTCCTGGGGGGCCCAGGAGCTGGCCACCTAAGGCCCCCCCGAGGTTGGCAGTGGTGTCAGCGGGCGGGCGCGCGAAGGAGCATTCTCCCCTGAGTGCTCTCAGGGAGCTGAACAGGAGGATCAATGCTTTCTCACCGCCTGCAGGAACGGCCACCCAGCAGCCCCACTGGACTCCAGGGAAATCTGGAATCCCTTCAGCACTCCCAAAGGTAGGGAGGCTGGGGGATTAAATAAAAAAAAATATGTGAGTGTGTATGTGTGTTAGTGTGAGTGTGTTAGTTTTTGTGTGTCAGTGTGTCTGTTACTGAGTGTGTTAGTTTGTGTGTGTCTGCTAGTGAGTTAGTTTTTGTGTGTGTGTGTTACTGTGTGTGTTAGTATGTTTGTGTCTGTTATTGAGTGTGTGTCTGCTAGTGAGTAGCAGTGTGTGTGTGTGTCAGTGAGTGTGTTACTGTGTGTGTCTGTCACCGCCTGCAGGAACGGCCGCCCAGCAGCCCCACTGGACCCCAGGGAAATCTGGGATCCCTTCAGCACTCCCAAAGGTAGGGAGGCTGGGGGATTAAATAAAAAAAAATGTGAGTGTGTATGTGTGTTAGTGTGAGTGTGTGTTGGTTTTTGTGTGTCAGTGTGTCTGTTACTGAGTGTGTTAGTTTGTGTGTGTCTGCTAGTGAGTGTTAGTTTTTGTGTGTGTGTGTTACTGTGTGTGTTTGTTTGTGTCTGTTATTAAGTGTGTGTCTGCTAGTGAGTAGCAGTGTGTGTGTCAGTGAGTGTGTTACTGTGTGTGTCTGTCACCGCCTGCAGGAACGGCCGACCAGCAGCCCCACTGGACCCCAGGGAAATCTGGGATCCCTTCAGCACTCCCAAAGGTAGGGAGGCTGGGGGATTAAATAAAAAAAAATATGTGGGTGTGTATGTGTGTTTAGTGTGAGTGTGTGTTGGTTTTTGTGTGTCTGTTACTGAGTGTGTTAGTTTGTGTGTGTCTGCTAGTGAGTGTTAGTTTTTGTGTGTGTGTTACTGTGTGTGTTAGTTTGTGTGTGTCTTTTATTGAGTGTGTGTCTGCTAGTGAGTGTCAGTGTGTGTGTGTCAGTGAGTGTGTTACTGTGTGTGTCTGTTACTGAGTGTGTTAGTTTGGGTGTGTCAGGGGTGGGGGCCAAGGTGGGAGGCAATAGGTCTTCCCCAACTTACTTTTAAGGGCCCCCACCCGCCGCTCAGGGGTGGGGGCCAAAGGGGGAGGCAATAGGTCTCCCCCCATCTTACTGTTAAGGATCCCCACCTGCGGTTCAGGGGTGGGGGCCAGGGAGAGGCAATAGTCCCCCCCCCTTATTGCTAAGGGCCCCCACCGCCGCTCAGGGGTTGGGGCCAAGGGGGGGGGGACTCGGCACAGGTGGGGGCTGGGGGGACAATTGTGGGGTTTGTTTGTTTTTTTAACAGTGGGCAGCCACAGGCTTTCTTAGGGATACTAGGGGTAGTAGGGGTACTTGACATACCCCTACTCGCATTATAGCGAGATGGCGCATATTATTTACAAATACTAAGTAATCTTTACTTAGTATTAGTAAAGTTGGCTTAAAGACCAATTTAGGTCCTTCAGCCTTTTGGAAGATAACTCCCTAATACCATGGGAATTAGGGAGTTATCTACTAAGAAGCTGCAAGATGTAGCCGCGGCACAAATTGAATCGGAGTTTCATTCATTTGAGTGAAATTCCAATAAGAACAAAGTGCCGAATTGAGTTCTAAAACAAACGAACATACTGTTCTCATTCAGTTAGAACGCAATTCGGCAGTTTCGTCTAGAATGACAGGAAGCATCGCGAGATCACAGAGGAAAGGTAAGAATTATGGGAAAATTGCTCTGACCAGCAGAAATGAAGCACACTTTGCTCCTCCGCTGGTCAAAGCTTGTCAAGTGGAGGAAACCTCCATAAGGCAAAGAGTCCCTACTTTGTTGTATGATTTTAAAGAAAACTAAAGAAGACAGGAAGAAAATAAGAACAGATCCTGAGAGAGGGGGAGAAGAGGAAGAGATTGAGGAAAGGTAAGTTCGGCATGACAGTGCCTCTTTAATAGAGCAAGACCTGGCAGCACTAGAAGTCTCCCTATTAGGTCTTGATGTCTGTTTGCTGGGAGGAGTGCTCAGTCCTGAATAAGATGAGGGGATAGGGAGTAACAACACTGCTAGGAGGACCTGCCTGCAGGAGGAAAGATTACTGCAGAGGCATGCTGTTCAGGGGCTGGAGGAGAGAGAGAGTGAAGAGACACCAAGAAGAAGTAGGTTAGAGCAGAAATAAAAGGGGGGATTGAGGAGAAAGAAGTTAATAAATGGTTAATTGAGGCAGAGGTACAGCTAGGGGGGTGATAAGAGAAGGAAGTGGAGTGATGGTGAGAAAGTAAGGGTTAACATACTCACAGGAAAGAGAGAGTCCTGGACTGTGGCTCTGCCGAAAGCTGAACAAGTCTGGTTCACTAAACAGTGAAAAGGTAAGTGCTTAAGACACACACACTCTAACGAACAGACGCATACACACTAGCTAAAAGACACACACATTTACTGACAGACACACACTCAATGAGCAACATACACTCACTAACAGACGCACACAAAATAACACACTCAGTAACAGACACACACAGTAACACACTCACTGACACTCTCTAACACACACACTCTAACACACACACACTCTAACACTAACACACTAACACACACACATTTTTTATTTTTTTATTTAATCCCTCCAGCCTCCTTATCTGTGGGAGTGCTGAGGGGATTCTCTGGGGTCCAGTGGTGTCACCCGGAGGGCGGGCTGGCTGGTGGGCGCGCAAGGGAGCACTCTCCCTGGCTGAGTGCTTTCTCTTCAGCTCCCTCGCGCGCCGCGTACTGATGCCGGAGCCGGAATATGACGTCATCTTCCAGCTCCGGTATCAGTGCGGTGCGCGAGGGAGCTGAAGAGGAAGCACTCAGGGGAGAGTGCTCCCTTGCGCGCCCGCCGGGTGACACCTGGGCCAACCTCGGGGGGCCCTGAGGTGACCGGCTGCTGGACCCCCCCAGGAGAAGAGGCTGGCCACACTGGGTACATACCTGGTCGCAGGGCGGCCAGGCCCCCTGCGACCCCGGTATCTATGCCACTGAATGTGGGGCCCAGGATGACCTGAGCAGTCCGGGCCCCACAGGACTGCCGGGCCCATGACAACCGTCATGGTTGTCATGCCCTGATGGCGGCCCTGTGAGTGAGTGTATGTGTGTGTGTCTGTGAATGTATGTGTCTGTGCCTGTAAGTGTGTGTGTGTATGTGTGTCTGTGAATATATGTATGTGTGTGTGTGTGTGTGTATATATATATATATATATATACGAATGTATATTATTTTTTTTGGGGGGTGGGAATCTTGGGAGATTCACACTTTATTCCCCAGGACTTGACCCCTGATCTCCCGATCTCCCCTGTCGGCTCATGCAGAGCTGGCGCTATCTGAGTGCCGGCTCTACTCTAAGCCTCCATGGGCCGGCGGGGAGATCAAAGATCTACCTCACCAGCCCACAGAAGCATGGAGGGAGGCAGGAGAGGACCCGGGAAGCTCTAGACAGAAGCTCCGCCAGGTTCCTCTCGCGAGATCTGAGCATTGCCGCGGCAATGCTCAGATCTCGCGAGAGTGAACTCTAGCCTCACAGGCTAGAGTTCACTCTCCCTTGGACAGCAAGGATCCCCCTCCCTACATAAGGTAAGAAGGGAGGGGGGTTATTTACTAATCTGCCCCCACCTTCACAGTCCCTCCAAACATACAACACACACATACAGCACCTACACACATACAGCGCACACAAACAAGCACCCTCACACACACAGCACACAAGCAGCACACATACAGCACCCTCACACAGCACACTAACAGGACCCTAACACACATACACAAACACCCTCACACACAGCACACTACCAGCACCCTCACACACAGCACCCTCACACACAAACAGCACCCTCACAAACAGCACACTACCAGCATCCTCACACACACACAGCACACTACCAACACCCTCACAAACACACACACATAGCACCCTTACAAACACACAACAGCCTCACACACAGCACACTAACAGCACCCTCACAAATACACGACACAAACAGCACCCTCACACACACACATCACACAAACAGCACCCTCACACACACAGCACACTAACAGGACCCTAACACACATACACAAACACCCTCAGACACAGCACACTACCAGCACCCTCACACACAGCACCCTCACACACAAACAGCACCCTCGCACACAGCACCCTCACACACACATCACACTAACAGCACACACACGCACACACAGCACCCTTATACACACAGCACCCTCACACAGCGCACTAACAGCACACACACATAAACAGCAGTATATGTGTGTGTGTGTGTGTGTGTGTGTGTATATATATATAATATACACACACACACATGCGGCGTGTGTTTGAGCTTTAGGGTGTGCACCCTAATGCAATAGGCTGCGCATGCCTGTGGTCCTACTGAAATGCACTGCACATCCCTATGGTGGTGGTGGTGGCTTTACTGGAATCTGGGCAAATAAGCTGAGATGGGCGGGTCATATGGTTGTGATGTCACATAATGGGGGGGTGGAAGGGGCGGCAAATTATATTTTTGCCTAGGGATGCAAAAATCCTTCCAACAGCCCTGGCCAGACTTGATATTTCACATATATTTATTCAATGTTAGAGTGTATTTTCTCTTTAAGAACTGTTTCTTGGATTGACCCAAAACTCAAAATTCTCTCTGCAAACAGTTTAGACACTGAATGAAATTCAGTTGTATGTTCTGCAAAGGAGTAAAGGCTAATCTCTGATGCTCTAGCTCAGGGTTAGGCAACCTTCTAGTAGTACTGTGCCAAAACAAGATTTTAAAGTCCTATTTTTTTTTTTTAACTTGAGGTGTGTGTGTGTTGCTCTATTATGCTTGTGTTATATATGAGTGCTGCAGTTGCTTTGTAGTGTTGTATTTGTGCATATGTGGGCTGTTATATTGTACAGTATATGCTCATAGTTTGTGGTATCGTGTATGATACCAATGTATGTGGGCTGTGTATAGAGGCTGCTTGTGTATTTGTGTGTGTGGATGATATGTCACATTGCGTGTTTGGTGTGTGTGTATGTGTGGGGCTGCTTGGGGTATTGCATATGAGAGGCTGCTTGTGGGGGTGTAAGTGTGTATATGGATTGTGGTGTTTGTAACGGCCGGGACTGTGTGTGTGTGTGTGGGATGTTTTTATTATTTGTATGAGGGGAAGGCTTCGTCTGCAGCTCTGGGTATATCTAGCAGTGTCAGTGACTTCCCAGGGGTCCACTGGAGACTGGCCTGGCTAGATACAGGTGAAGGGCAGGAGCTGTGATACCTGCAGAGGGCTGCTCTACTCCAATGATTACTTCCTGTAAGTGCTGCAATGTGTAAATTGAGGATCACCCCTTACCACCTGCAATCACCACTAAAGTTGCACTAGGGACTCCTGATAAACCAGAGCCTGTTTGTCTCTGGCAACCTTGAGGGTTGTGCAAAGGCACCTTGAGTACAATACATCTTCCATTTGGCAGGCTAAGCACTTTCAGTTATAGTCCACAACAGCTAAAAGGCATTGGCACCCCAAGACTATCCTAAAATGAAAAAATACTTAGGTTGTTTAAATCTCCTTCTTCACACAGAATTCTTTATTGCAAAAAGAGACATGAAGGGTTCAAGAAGGGAGAAAGATATGCAGATGTAGAAGCATTTCCACCACCACCAGTTGAAGTGTTCAGGCCAATGAGAGCAACGTTATTTGATGATGAAACACCTCCACCTCCACCAGTGTCTATTACTGAAACACTACCACCACCAGAGTGAAGATGAGAAGTAAAATAACAAGGACCTATATTTAAACATATATTTGGCATTGTGGCCACTAGGTGTCCTTATATCTCAATCTTGCACACATGGAGTATTAATTAAAGTAGGTTTGTCATATTTGTTGTAAGAATCATTTTGAAGCCAGCAAAATTAAAAGTAGCAATTACATTTAATTTATTTATTTTTCAACAATTCTTTTTTTAATTTACATAAAGATACCATATATTTTCTAAAACACTCAGAATGGAAATTATAGGACTGCACTTTATGGGCATATAAAACCCTTTAGGGACAATTCACATTAGATTCCATTCCATGTTGGATTATGAAAAAAAGTATAAATGCTAGGCAGTAGATTACGGTAGTCAAAGGAATTATATTTAGGCCCCTGATCCTATTGTGTTAAAAACACCATCTAGCCCCCACCCCGTTACCTCCCTAAACATAGTCAAATCCTACTTTTATCTAGTCTGGTGCTGCTGACTCTGCCCTGATCTGCCTGCTTGATTGACATCATCAGAAGTGTTGATCAAAGCCAATCACAGACTGGCTCAGACTGTCAAGGAGGCAGATCAGGGGCAGAGTCAGCACAAGCCAAACACTGCCCTGGCCAATCAGCATCTCCTCATAGAGATGCATTGAATGAATGCATCTCTATGAGGAAAGTTCAGTGTCTCTATGCAGAGGGTGGGGACACTGAATGGCAGTGCAGCACTGTCCCAGGAAGCACATCTAGTAGCTATATAAGGAGTGGCCAGTGAATTTATCCCTAGGCTTTAATGTAAACACTGCAGTTTCTCGGAAAAGACAGTGCTTACTGTAAAAAGCCTGAAGGGAATGGTTATACTCACCAGAACAAATTCAATAAGCTGTAGTTGGTCTAATACTATAGTGTCCCTTTAATGGATCAACACATAAGTCAAATTATTGTAGTTTGTCTAAGTTTCATTTAGAGAATTCCCTAAATAATATATTAAAGGGACACTATAGTCACCCAGACCACTTCAGCTCAACGAAGTGGTCTGGGTGCCAGGTCCCCCAGGTTTTAACGCTTCAGATATCTTTTGGCTGGGTTGGAATTTTATTGAAATTCCAACACAGTCAATGTAAGTATTTCACAAATTTTGAGGGGGGGAATGACAGTACCGCTTTAACATTCTACCATTAGGTTACTTTCTAGCAATAATATATTACAACTATTATAAAGTGGATGTTCAATTCAGAAACTCAACCTGAGATTAAATGGAGTAGAATCTCCCCTATGGGCATATCGGGCATATCTGAGGTACTCTCAGACTGGACACATTTCACAATTGACCTAAATTCTACACAAGCCCAGTTGCTTTCAACAGCATATCCAGACAGTCATCATTAACAGTGAGTCAGTTAGTGCTGTAGTGGAAGAAGGAGAGGGGGGATGGTAGCACTGCAGTTGCGTGTGGTGCATATTTAGCTTTTACAATTCAAATTTGCCCTTTCACAAAGGAAAGCAATGTCAGTAGTTTACTTTATGTTACCACTGGCAATAGATTATGACCAGTATCTGGTGGAGCGCAGCCTTAAGTGCCCCTATGAAAAAGCTACCACTGCGTTGTCAGTATATGTAGTGAATATAGTAGAACTGTCCAACTGAAAATGAAAAGTTTTGCACACAAGCAGAGTTTTGAAAAACCTTAGCTCACACCACCTCTTTGAAAACGTTGTAATTTGACAACAGGAGTTCATCATCCCAGACTGGGCGCATTTTACTTTGTGTTCTGTTAAATGTACGTGATTGAGGAGTTTCAAAAACAGCATTGGTCTGAAAGTACCTTTTGATAACTGACACCAGGAGAAGATGAAAATATATTCCTTGAAATCTTTCCTAATACAACCTCTACTGCTTGTAGTATTGCCAATTTAAGATGCAGGCTTAACTATTTTGACTTGTGAAACATAAATTTCTAGTTACTCTATCGTTGAAATAAGAAAACTGAGTATCCTATCCCTCGCTGTTTGCCTGACTAACAATTCTACCTGACGGTCTAGACTTTCTGCTGCTAAACTGTTCTGTTGAGGACAGGCAAAAAAAAACCACACAGGAAGATGGAACAAAATAGAGGAATCAGTGTGGGACTTATTTGAATTTCAGCTTGCTGCCGGCCTGTCTTACAAAAGATGGAGTGCTAACCCATCGTGAGATAGCCGCAAGGGAAAAGATGGTAAAAAGAAAGATGTGAGCAAATATAAAAAGTAAAGGAAGAGAAATGGTAGAGAAATATGAGAATGGACACAGGAAATTAGAAGGAAAAAAAAGGTGGCAGACAAACAAATGCCATAAGACATACACAAGGGTGGACTGTGCACAAAAAGAGAAAGTAAAAAGGAAAGCATAGATTGTAAGCATATAGAGAGAGAGGAAAAAGAGCAAAAGATGGTCAGGGTACATAAAAAGCATGGGAGGAAACAAGAACAAAGTATTGTTATGGGCAAATGCAAATATTACAAGTTTTAGAATGAAATGTTGTATTTCTTAAACTGTGTACTTTGTCTTTAAGAGATATTGCAAACTGACAAGGTGTTAGAAATGGAACATATTATTTTTCATAACTGTTTCTTTAAGCAATAACCTCAGTGCATAATATGTTTGCACCATTTTGTCCCAGACGAATTACAATAACAATAATGCATAAACAAGCTTCAAGGCTATGCTACGACTCTTTCAGTATGTAATATACTGTGGTAACCTTAGTAGATAAGGATGTTCAGACTTTAAGATGCCATCTTGAACTAAGACAGGAAAATTTCCATGACGTATGCACCCTTTAGTAATGGCCTTGTATGTTTGCCAAGTTAAGGGAGGTCCTAAAATGAGTAAAGTAAAAGAAGTGTTACTTTTTCATATATGAACTACGGTAACCCTAAAATGGAGACACCTAAGGTATAAATAGGTGTACTTTTAAATGTTAAGACACAGAGGAGAGACTTGGAGACAGACGCTGCTCCATCTTAAAATGACAGAGAGGCTGACATGATGACATGTTCAGAAGGGTATGTTAACCTATTAATGATATTTGCAAGCATTTAGTTTAATCTTATAAACTCTGCTATAATGGATTTTATATGTCTATATTTTTATATAATAAATATCTAAAAGACAAAACTATTGCTTAAAAGACAATCCTTATTTTATATTGCATTCTCAATTATTTATATATGTTAAATAGAGGATCTCTTACACTAACTATATAAAATTATGGCTAAGATATCTGTATGGTTAGCCCTACTAAGTTCTATGCTTTAAGACATTATAGTGGTAAATAAGGGAACCAGCCGCGGTTACAGTATAGAGTATAAAATGTATACATAAATACAGGAAATATGAGAAGATAAAGGATAAACGTGACATGCAATGGAATTTTTACGTTTTTCCTATTCTTTGCACATTGTTTTAATGCATTCTCTATATAAGCCTCAAAATATGAAAGTCAATTTGAGGTTGCATTGTCCCTTTAAAAACAGAATGATATACATTTATTTGGTGTGTTCACAATCTTTTTATTAAACCCCTTACTTGTACTGATCTTATATTTAAAAAAAAACAAAACTATTTTATCACTCACTACACTCACATGCATGTCATTTACATCACAGTGAGCGGCTTGGAGGCAACAAACTTTTTCTGGCACAGATGGTTGATTTAAAGCACGTAAGCACCAAAATCAGTATTTCAGTATTTTGATGCAAAGACCTTCTCCTTGCAGATGTAAGCACGGCCATATCTTGGGAACAACAATGATTGCATTTGACATTTAGCATGCCTTTAATGGCTTTTAATCAGACAGGAACTAGGGTTACCTCATCATGAAGACTTTCAATAATTGAGAAGCATTGGATTAGACCCCAAATCATCCAGATGGATGATCTCATCTGGTTTACGGATACATTTACTGGCATTCTTTTTGTTAAAAAAATTGAGGTTTATCTATTTCATATAAGGAACATAAAATATAACTATATTTATTTTTAATATTCGCGCGTTCCTTTAACGTCAAGTGATTCCAACTTAAAGCACCTCTACTACTTCAGCTGGAAGGCTATTCTATACCCCACAGCCCTCTCAGTAAAGTAATACTTCCTGATATTGTTTTTAAATCTTTGCCTAATTTAAGACCATTTTCTCTTATTCAACCTGTTGTATTATTATTATTTTATTATTTATATAGCGCCATCACATTCCGTAGCGCTGTACAATGGGTGGACTAACAGACATGTCATTGTAACCAGACAACTGGACGTAAAAACCTGCTAACAGTTTAATTGATGTGCTTTCTTGAAGAAGTGAGTTTTCAATGATTTTTTGAATGAGTGGAGACTGGGTGAAAGTCTTATGGAGAAGGGAAGGGAGTTCCACAGAAGAGGTGTTATGGTACCTGGAGTCTGTCCATGCAACATTTCAGTATTAAACACTATACATATAGAAATATTTGCTTTGGTGCCAGCAGCTTCATTAGTGAGCCTGGAACAAGAGTTCTCTGACTGTCTAATACCCGTTCTGTACATATCCCGTGCACAGAAGGTCATTCATCGGCATAGAGCGCTTAGCTGATGCTCTCAGCCAATTAAATAAAAAAGATCAGAGAGACTTTTACAACGAACATCCCTATCTAATAGGGAATTTAAAAATAAAAGAGGAAATACAAGGTTAGTGAAGTCAGGAACTGCTCAAGGGCCTGTTAGTTAGTCAAGGGAGCCTTGACAATGGTCTCCTGCGCCAGAATGTTGGATGTTTGTAGTGTCCCCTGGTTACTGATTAGGTAAAGTAACTTTGTACAGCAATCTTTTTCCAGTTTTTGCTTTGTAACAAATTAATTTGTCTTTTTTTGTAATATATCCATATTAAATACCTACATGTATAACGACTTTTGATTTACAAATTGTACTATTACTGGTGTATGCAGATGAATTCTGATTATTCTTCTATTTATTGATTATGTAATGAAGTTTATTTTTATGTATTAATAATAGGAGTGTGGGTGTTTTCCTGATTTCAGTAGTGTAACCCGAAGTGTTCCTGACTCACAGTCTCTGAAAGACACATACCTTTTGCAGCCAATGAAAATGCAGGCATGTCTTCTCTAGTGTAAGGAATGCTCACAGCACAGACTTCACTGCAGAGACAAGGCTAGATCCTCTCCCTCCCTCTCTCACTCCAATACAAGTAATATATTCTCCTACAGTCCCTGTCAGCCAGCCTCCCTATCCAATTAACCAGTTCCCAGCCTGTCCCAGTCAGTTAACCCCCCCCCCTACCGACTGTTAACCCCTTAAGGACCGGCCTGTCTTTGCGATGTTGTACGTTAAGGACCAGAGCGGTTTTAACACTTTTGTGGTGTTTGTGTTTAGCTTTAATTTTCTGCTCTCTCATTTACTGTTCCCATACTAATATATATATTTTTTTTTTTCAGGACAAGAAGGGCTTTCTTTACATACTCTTATTTGTATCATGTCATATATGTTACTTTAAAAAAAATATGGTAAAAAATTGAAAGTTTTTGGACTTTTACTTGAAAAATCTTTTACTTATCTACAAAAGCTAATGAAAAAAACTGCTAAATAGATTAAAAATTTTGTCCAGAGTTTAAAAACACCCAGTGTTTACATGCTGTATTGCTTTTTTTTTGCAAGTTATAGGGCTATAAGTACAAGTAGGAAATTGCTGTTTCAATATATATATATTTTTAAATGTATCAATAGTGACATTGTAACACTATTATCTGTCATAAATCTCTGAATCACACCCCATATGTACATATTTTTTTTAAAGTAGACAACCCAGGGTATTCAATATGGGGTATGTCCAGTCTTTTTTAGTAGCCACTTAGTCACAAACACTGGCCAAAGTTAGCATTTATATTTGTTTGCATGTTAAAAATGCAAGAAACACTAATTTTGGCCAGTGTTTGTGACTAAGTGGCTACTAAAAAAGACTGAACATACCCCATTTGCAATACCTTGGGTTGTCTTCTTTTGCAAATGGTATGCCGTTATGGGGGAAATTCTCATTCCTGGGCTACCATACGCTCTTAAAGGCAACATAACCAATCTGACAAATTCAATGAAAAAAAAAAAAGTAAAATCAAGCCTTATATTTGACCCTGTAACTTTCAAAAACACTATAAAATCTCTACATGTGGGGTACTGTTATACTCGGGAGAATTCGCTGAACACAAATATTAGTGTTTCAGAACAGTAAAAAGTATCACAGCAATAATATCATCAGTGAAAGTGCTGTTTGTATGTGAAAAATGCAAAAAACCCGTCACTTTCACTGACAATATCATTGCTGTGATATGTTTTACTGTTTTAAAACACTAATATTTGTGTTCAGCGAAGTCTCCCGAGTATAACAGTACCCCCATGTACAGGTTTTAGGGTGTCATAGAAAGTTACAGGGTTAAACGCAGTGCTAGCAAATTAAATTCTCTGGACTTTCGGCCTGGGTTGTCAGGCATGTCCCTCAAATTGCAATCAATAAAATTACTTAATTATGTAAAAATATTACATAAATATGCACATAGAATTTAAATATATATACCTATTTATATATTTGAAGTCTACATGTATATTTATGAAATTATTTATGTAATTATGTATATGGACATATGTATATTTCATATTATTTTTATTTATTTATTTATACGAATATATATATATATATATATATATATATATATATATATATATAACTCATACACAGAGCATCTAGTAGATACATATACTGAGGCAGAGTCCTCATTGTAACTCATACATACAGCATATGGTGGGTACATATACGGAGGCTGTGTCCTCACAGTAACTCATACATAGAGCATATAGTGGATATATATATATATATATGTATGTATACTGAGGCCGTGTCCTCATAGTAACTTATACCAAGAGCATACAGTGGGTACATATACTGAGGCCATGTCCTCATAGTAACTCCTACATAGAGTATATATATATATATATATATATATATATATATATATATATATATACTGAGGTTGTGTCCTCATAGTAACTCATACATAGAGTATATAGTGGACACACACTGAGACTTCATACCAATTCATACATTAGAGCATATAGTGGAAACATACCAGTGCTGTACCACCGCCAGTTCATGTACAGATACTGAGGCCCAGTGGTCTCCTGTGCAGTATACTCTTCCACTGTCTGCAAAGCCTGCTGATTTGTGATAATGCACAGATAACAGCAATCAATGCCACATACCTTGATAGAAACAAGTGTGTGTGTGGACTTTAGGTTTTTAAAACCTGTCATATACATGTGTGTACCTTAATCAGACACCCAAGAAGGTTCTCTTACCTTGGCTATTTCTCTGTCTTCAGGCTGTGGAATTCCAGCAGACTTTATACAGCCAGGATATCCATTATTAGCACTCTTTTTCACAGTGTCTCATTGCATTATCAGCACTACTTTGCCCAATGCATACTTGTATTATCAGCACTCTTTTGCACCAAACATCCTTATAAACTTACTAAATGCTCACCACACAAATCTCCTAAATGTGACCTATTTTTTTTTAGAAGGAAGCCTAATGTAAGCAGCTGGGAGGGACTGAAAGAACAGAGACCCAGATGCCTATACTAGTTTTAATCTAAATTACTAATGCACTTACCTGAACCGTTGCAGGCCTGTGTTTCAGCAGCAAAATGGGGATTTGAACAACTGACAGCCTAAACTGTTTAAACTATAGGCTTCCATCTGTACCCCATATGCCATTCATCATCACCATACAAGGTGGAATACATAGAAGAGGTATACCCCGGTAGTTACAACTCTGTTGGGCCTCATGTATGCAGTGTACCGCTGTCATCCCCTCAGGGAGAGGGATAGGTTAGACTCCTGATTGCTGAAGGA